GGCTACAGGCAGATCGAGTGAGAAAATGGGACGTGAAAACACTTTTGCAAACCATCCAGCACTGAACAAATACAAGATGCTGTTGTTATTACGTCACTTCCCATGTGCTGTACTGAGCACACAGCCACACCCACGCCAGCCTCGGGCCGGCCCTGACCCTCTGCAGCCTCCAGGGTTGCCAGCCTCCCCACTGAGGCTGCATGGTGGAGTCTTCCCTGCTTCTCTTGTGTTTATCCCACCCCTGGGGCCCTCCCCGCGGCAGCGGATCCTGGTAATGGCAGCCGCTAATTTGTGTTCTGTACATCAGCGGGCTTTATTCTCCCAGCAGCCCCATTTTTCAGATGAGGAAACTGAGGCTTAGAGAAGGTAAGAAATTATCCAAAGTCAGCATGAGCTAGTGGTGAGGGTGGACCTCAGCCTCGGGTCTGTCTGGTGGCTTCTGTACCAAGTGTCACAGGCATTTGCCCTCCACCTTCAGGACATTTGCCAGGTCTATACCCTACCCGACTGTCATGTACGACAGTGCACATAAGTGGATTCTGTACAGTTTACTCATTCATTCAACAAATTTTTATTGCGGACCTAAGATGTGCCAAGCACCATGTAGGGACTGAAGGCAGAGAGGGAACAAAACAGACAAAAATACCGTGTGGGGTCTACCTTCTAATATGGTCCTCTGTTTACTTAATGGTTTTTTTTTTGTTGTTGTTGTTTTTGCGGTACGCGGGCCTCTCACTGTGTGGTCTCTCCCGTTCCGGAGCACAGGCTCCAGACGCGCAGGCTCAGTGGCCATGGCTCACGGGCCCAGCCGCCCTGCGGCATGTGGGATCTTCCCGGACCGGGGCACGAACCCGTGTCCCCTGCATCGGCAGGCGGACTCTCAACCACTGAACCACCAGGGAAGCCCTAATCTTCTTTTAAAGTAACACTTACTGTAAAAGAAACTTTCTGTTGCTACTACAGATCAAAACCCAGTATTGGATTTTCTGATCCTTTAAGCATGAGTACCATTAAAAATCAATGTCACCGTAGTCTAGCTGAGTGTTCTTGCCTGCTGGAGGTTTGGATCCTGAAGCCTGGTTTGATGAAAAAGGGAGATTTCCATTCTTCCATTCTTAGAAAATGTAAATGTAGAATTACTATATGACCCAAGAATTCCACCCTTAGATATATACCCAAAATAATTTTGAAAAGAGATATCCAAATAAATACTTGTACACAAATGTTCACAGCAACGCTACTCACAAGAGCCAAAGGGTGGAAACAGCCTTCTGTCCAGCAGTGGATGATGGACAAACAGAATACAGTTGACCCATACAATGGAATATTCTCAGCCGGAAAAAGGAATGAAGCTGTGACACAGGCTACAACAGGGATGGACCTTGAAATGTTATGCTCGGTGAAAGAAGCCCCGTACAAAAGGTCATGCATAGCAATATTGCATTGCTATGAAATATCCAGAAAAATAACTCCATAGAGACAGAAAGCAAATGAGTAGTTGCCGGGGCTGGGAGGTGGGGATGGGGGGTCGGTGCGGGGAAGGGAAATGGGGAGTCATTGCTTAATGGGGGCGGACTTTCCTTTTGGGGGTGATGAAATGTCTCAGAAGCAGACAGAGGTGATCATTGCACAACATCGTGAATGTAATAAATGCCACGGAAGTACACACTTCAAAACAGTTCACGGTTAATTTTAGGTTATGCGAGGTTTACCTCCATTTTTTTAAAAGGGAGATTTCCAAATGTTAGCGAGGCGGTAAAGACGTGTCTTTGCCAAATGAGATCTTCTCCTTAATGGAATAAAAAAGAAAGGAAGAGAATTACATATTGCCTACTAATCGTCACGGTACTGCCACTGGCAGTCTCTCATTGGGTCCTTACAATGACCCTGGGCTGTAGACAGAAAAGTGATGGGGTCTGTATCAGGCAGCTCAGGCAGCCGTATTAAAGTGTCACAAACTGGGGGTTTAAGCAACAGGTATTTATTTTCTCACTGTCCTGGAGGTTGGAAGTTCAAGGTCAAGACGCTGGCAAGTTTGGTCTCTCCCAAGGCCTCTCTCTTTGGCTTGGGGACGGCCACCTCTCCCTGTGCCCTCACACGGTCTTTGGTCTGTGCCTGCGAATCCCTGGTGTCTCTTTGTGAGTCCAAATTTCCTCTTCTCGTAAAGAAACCAGTCAGATGGGACTAGGGCCAACCTGAAAGGCTTCATTTAACTTAATCATCTCTTTAAAGGCCCTATCACATTCTGATGTGCCGGGTGTTAGGACTTCAACATACGGGTTTGGGGGCACACAATTCAGCAGTGTCCCAGGTGACTTATGAGAAGAAGCAGAGAGAAGCTAGCACAGGTCACAGAGGTGGCAGGGAGCAGAGCAGGCCAAGAACCCACATAGGCTGATCCCCCATCGAAATATTTTCCTCTATGCTGTCTGCGTCTAGCAGTGTGGACGGCTGCAGACGTGGCTGGGGTCCCGGGAACGGTGCCAGTGGGGGCAAGGTCATCCATCCACATGGCATCTTGTTTCTGCAATCACGTCCCTCGCCGTTATAAATCCCTCTCCATCCAACAACCAGGCAGAACTTCACGGAGGACCTGATCTAGCGTCTGGGCAGTAAGTGTATGATTAGCTACTGAATTATGTGTCCACAAACCTGGTGGAAAGATCCCATGCTGAGGATGCCTGCCCTGAGCCGAGCATTTGTACCTGGAGAGATTGATAACTGTGGCAAGGGCTCGGAATTCAGAGCTGAATCTTTGTTTAATATGCATCTTTCTTCTTCAAAGAGATTTATTTGTTAAACAGACTTCAAAACATCTGGTCCCTGAGAGTCTGTACCTGATTTGGCAGTCCTGGCTCAGACTGCCCCAAGCCTCCATCATTTTGCAAGTGGATGAAAGAGAGGGTGATAGTGGAGGGGCAGAGGGGAGGGGGAAAGAGGATGCCCAGGGAAGTGCCATGCGTGCTGGTTCTGCTCCTGCAACTGAAGCCCAGGAGCTTTGAGCCAGAAACAAAGGGCATCAAACAATGCAGAGGAGGCCAGCTCCCCGGCTTGCCCCTCCCCACACCCACCACCTTGTGGGAGCCCTGTCTCCAGATATGTTGCCAGATATGCCAAAGGCTGTGCCCATTTCATTCCAGGCTGTTTTAAATGACATCCCCTGAAAAGATGCTGGAGAAGCACGTTTTCTCAGAATCAGCTGGCTGCCTCCCCCTCAAGCAGCCCTTTCCTCCAGGAATGGCCCCTCCACACCGCTAAAACCAGAAACTGGGGTCCCCTTCAAGGTGTCTGTGCCCCTTGACCCCGGCAGCCAGCCCCCAAGCCTTCAGACACCACTCCACTCGTCTGAAACCCCTCATTCATGTAATAACCCAGGGCCCCTGCTCACGTCCATCACCCTGCCAGCCACATGGCTCTGCCTACCCTGCCCTCTCCCAGTCTCCATGCAGGGCAGCTCCTTTGGCCTTGAGTCTTTTTTTTTAAGGTTATACTCCATTTATAATTATTATAAATATTGGCTTGGCCTCGAGTTTTAAACACACTCCTGCACCATCAATACTGGTTTCCTCCCCCCGCCAACTCCTCTCCACCTGCAGAACCCCGCTGTCCTATCTCCACCTCCAGGGAGCTTAAAGGGCTTAAAGGGCTCCAGGAAGACAGTATCTTGCTCATCTGTATGCCCTCCTGCACCAAGAACAGTTGAATAAATGCTTAATTAATTAAAAGACTTGGCTGCTTAAAGACAAGCCAGTCTAACAGAAGTGGGGGTTTACAGCACATCGTCAGAGACCCAGAAGGTTTCTTGGCTCCTGGGCTCAGTAACCATCGGCCCCACCCACCCTGCAGGGCATCACTCTGGGATATATGGCTGCCACCTAGTCATGTGACCTGGTGGGTCTAGAAGACCTCGATGAGAAAATAGGCACAGTCCCCGCCCAGGCTGCCATCCCCTCCATCCCTTGATGTAAACACCACTTGGCGCTTCTGTGTTGCCAACTGGCTCTCTGAAGGATGTCTCCTCCACTAGCGGCCTGTTTGCCGGCAATCGCCAAGGGGTAAAGGGCCTCCTGGGAAATGGGTCTAGCTCTTCCCTATTCAAACACCAGGCAGATGACTAAATGATTAGAGGGACTGGGAAAAGTCACAGACCCTTTAAGAAGCAGGTTAGGGCAGACATTCTTGAGGGAACCAGATCGTAAAAGGCAAGTTGCTTTAATAAGCCAGGGCTGAGCTAGGGGTGAGGAGAAGGGGCAAAGGGTGCTGGCCAGAGCCAGGTGGGAAGGGGTCAGTGCTGGGGCCAAGGGACCAAGGCCCTCATCTTTTTCCCAGCACAGGTGCTGAGACCTAAAAGGGCAGATGGAGCTTTTCTTTGGAAAGTGGTGATGGATATGCAACTGCAGAAATAGACTCTGGGCCTCATTTATGATCACCGGGAATTAAAGAAACGCCACTTCTGGGGCTTCCTCGGTGGCGCAGTGGTTAGGAGTCCACCTGCCAATGCCGGGGACACGGGTTCGAGCCCTGGTCCGGGAAGATCCCCCATGCCGCGGAACAACTAAGCCCGTGTGCCACAACTACTGAGCCTGCACTCTACACCCTGCAAGACACAACTACTGAGCCCACGCGCCACAACTACTGAAGCCCATGTGCCACAACTACTGAGCCTGTGCTCTAGAGCCCACAAGCCACAACTACTGAGCCCGCGTGCCACAACTACTGAAGCCCGTGCACCAAGAGCCCATGCTCCGCAACAAGAGAAGCCACCACAATGAGAAGCCCGCACACTGCAACGAAGTGTATCCCCTGCTCGCCGCAACTAGAGAAAGCCCGCGCACAGCAACGAAGACCCAACACAGCCAAAAATAAAATAAATACATTAAAAAAAAAATAAACGCCACTTCTGTACCTAGCTGCTGCGCTACTGGCCAACACATGCAAGGTGCACAGACCAGGCCGGCAACGCCCCACAGTGTCAGGAGCCACCGCACGGGGCCACCACACCCAGGATCCTGTACCTCCTTCTTCTTCACGTACTTCCCACGCTGCTTAATTCCCCCATAGAGTGAGAGCTCCTGAAGGTGTGGGTGTATGTCCCTTGCTCACCGTACTGTCCCTCCCGCTTGGCTGCACGCCAGGAACTTGGTGGGCACTGGCACACCTTTGTTGAATAAATGAATGAGTGATTTTCCACATCTAGAAGAAGCATGGAGAAAATAAGCCCCAGTGGCATCTCACAGGACTGGGGCCACCATGAGGTATAAAATAAGGAACACCGAGAGCAAGACCCCATTGCCTGCCTGCAAGTGAGGAGGCCTCAGCACCACCTCTCACCAGCTCAGAAGGCAGGACGATATGCAGGCCTGCGCCTTCGGCCAGTGGGCTCAGGAGCCCCCTGGGTGAAGCGGAAATGAAGAGGCCCCCTGGCCTGCTTATCAGACCCTTGCCCAAGGAGGGTTAGGCTGCTTATTCTTAAACAGCTGAGTTTGGAAGGGGAAGATCCAGGATTTGGGACACTTGAAGCTTATACATATGCAGGGACTCTTTAAGAAAAGCACATAAAAATATCTGGCATAAGCTTTATTAAACCCGGCGACAGGTGAACTCCTTGCTGGATGCCTCTCAGGGCTTCATGGTCATCCCAGGAAATCCACCTGGAATGCCTGGAATAGAGAGGCCAACCTGGACCCGTTTCTCTCCTGCTGCCCCACCCTCACTTGCTCTGCGCCAGCCAGGAATACCACACTGTGCTGCTCTGGAGACGTAACTTAACTTCTCTGTGCCTCGGTTTCTCCATCCTTAAAATGGGTACAGTATCAGTGCCTATGTAGTAGTTGTGTTGGGAGGTTCAAAGGGATTAACACAAGGAAAGTATTTCATCCAGGTCCTGGCATATGCTAAGTACGCAAGGAGGTGTTGCTCTAAATTGCTATTTCTACAACCTTCCACCCCTCGTGGGTCAAACAGGAAGTCAGAGCCATCTGTAACTAAACAGTGGAATTTCAGCATTAAAGGCCTGCCTGGTGTGACCACGGATTGTGGTCACGGTTTTTTAAAGGGACTTTATCTTTGAGAGACACACACACACACACACAAAAATTTTTTTAATTACTCATGTTGTATTTCTGCAAATTTTGCTCCCATCTGTGTGTGATTTTTGCTTCTACCTTGTAAGCAGACATTCTTAAATAAAATAACTACACCAATAGGGAAAAATCATAAGTGACTCAGTCATACTTGATTGTTCTGACATCCCAAGAAGCCCCTGACCTACGGTTCATGAGGTTGTACCCTCCAAAGGCTGCATTCCTATGAAATACCCAGAACAGGTCATTCCACCCCTAAAGCTCCAGCAGAGTACCCAGAAAGACCCAACCAGCCTCTAAAACCCTCCCAGCCCTGCTAAGGAGGAGGCAACCGCCTCTCTGCCTGTCCCCATCACTATGGATGGATCCAGAGCCTGTCCCCTCCTTTACTCACCCGCCCCTGGCCTTAGTAGCGGAAGGGTGTTCTGTACTGGCCCGTTGTCTGAGAACAGGTCGGGAGGAGGGGAGGCACCATGTTATGGGGAGACCCAGCTCAGCCCAGCCACGCTGGTTGAGGACATCCCTGTGCTGACATTGCTGAGCCCCATCCTGGACCCTGTGCTGCTGGGCCCACCCTCAGAGGTCCGGGTCGCCCTGCCTCTCCCCATCAGAGGGCTGGACCCTCAGCACCAGACAAGCAGCACCTAGGGCTGGGCTGGAGTCAGACAGACCTGGTGGGATCCCAGCACTTCCTCTGTGACATCACAGGCACGTTCTTAACCTCCCTGAGCCAGTTTCCTCTTAAGAAAAATGGAGGTGGTAACCAACCGTCCCTTAGGAAAAGGAACAGGGAACTGCTCCACATAGAGCCAGCACTCAGCAATCGCCAACCCTTTCTCTCCCCCTGCACTTCCCCCTGCCCCTCTGCTCCTGGGGAGGCAGGGAACTGCTGAGGGGTCTGGGCGCTATTCCTAGCTCAGGCCAAGAGCAGCCCGCCGGCAGGTCCTGACCGCACAGCAGTTCCCTACGTGACCCTCAGCTCCTGGGCGCCACACGCTCCCCCGGCCCCCGGCCCCCACTTGTTGGTCCTGAGGGAGCCCAGGCTACAGAAGCATCCAGGCTGGCTCCAGCCTGGCCACCCTGACCACACGATTGCGCTAATTCTGCCAGAAAGACCAGCCTGTGGTTGGGAAGAGCAGCCATTAAGGTTTCCAGGAAATTCCTCTGAGCGGGGAGGAGCTGTTTGCCATTCCTGAGGTCCCTCCAGCCTGTTTGAATGAGGTTTTCCAATTAAGCTGGGGCTGCTCCCAGATCTCTGGTTTAAAAAACCATCTATCTGCTTTCCCTCTAAAGAAACAAAAATCCTTGAGACATGGACGTTCCTGCCTTTTATTTTTTAAAATGACTTCTGGCTGTTTTTCTTTCCTGATTATCAAGCAGCGCCTGTTCCATCATCCAGGAATGCTGTGGGAGCCCTGGTTGGGGTCGGAAGGCTGGTTGGGGGGGGCGGGATGAAGTGGTGCCGCTCCCTGAGTTGGAGACCACGTGGGGAGAGACGAATCTGGGGGAAAAGATGACCCCTTCCTCTCTGGCTGGGATCATGCGGATGCACTTTGGAATTCTTAATTCTGCCTGTGGGCAGGAATGTGTGGGAGAGGGTTGGAGACCCAGGGCTAGCTCTCAGGTGTGGGCTGGAGATTCGAGGTCCAAATGAGGCATCAGCATCACGGGGCTGGATGAGATCTCCAGGACAATGTGGAGGGTGGAGAGAGAAAAGGGTCAAGGGTGAAACAAGCAAGAAGGACCCTGGGGAAGAGAAATCATCAGAGGATCCTGGAAGGAAATGGAGAGGAGGGGAAGGACCAAGCGAGAGGAATGCCTTGGAGGTCAAGGGTGAACGGAGGGCAGCCAAGTCATGTGGCCAGAGACGTGCATTTAGATGAGGCCTCAGTGGTCCACTGGATTTGGTACTTAAGATGTCATCAGACCTCCCATAGCTGCTGTGTCAGGTCTGGGTCTAGTCTTTAAGAAGACTGACAGCTTCCACTTCCTCTTTCTTAAAATGACGTCTCTTGGGGCACTCCCTGGCAGAACCAGGTCGCCAGGCCGTGAGAAGCCCAGCCTGGGACACGCATAGCCTTGCCATCAACAGCCCCAGCCGAGTGAGCAGCCCAAAATCAGAATCAAATGCCAGTCACGTGCGTGAGACATCTTGGGGGCTCTGGTCTAGTCAAGTTTATACATGACTACAGCCCCAGGCGGAAGAACCTCCCAGCTGAGCCCAGTCAACTCATAGATTCAGGAGGTTTTTTTAAAAGTATCATCAGAGACTTTGCCAGAACACACTTAATGGCATGGTGGGGATGGACCCCCCAACCAAGAGGGATAAAAGCATGAAGAGGTGCACGTGTGTGTGTGCACCTGCATGTGTGCAGGGAGTAGAGATGCTGCTTAGAAGCTTGTTGATTGAGGAATCTGAGCATAGAAGGAGGAGAGGATGGGACCTGCTTATTATCCCTTACTACTTAAAACCCTCCTTCCTCACCAGGCCTCAGGCCATGAGCACCCAAGATAGCTTGCCCACAGCCTCAGCCAACGGCCCAGCCAGAGGTGCCGACCTATGTGATCCAGCCGCCCTGCACAAAGAGCCTTGAGAGGGGAGAGGGGGCCCGGGTCCCAGTCCCAGCCCCGCCACTGAAACCCTTGGGTCTCAGTTTCCCACCTTGTAAAGTGGGGCTAATAACACTTGGCCTGCCAACTTTTCAAAGCCATTGCTGGAAAGAAATAAAATGAAGGATTTAAAACTTTCAGGGCAAAAGCCAGTGTAAGAGATGATGGTGATTATGGTGGTTCAAAGGGAGGAAGAGGTTGGGGTCCGGCCAGGACCTCACAACCTGCTTCAGTTTGCACAGCACGTTTACATAAAAGAAGCTCAGGAAGATCAAAGTTGCCCAAGATGCTTCGAATCTCACCACCAACCCGGAGAAAGTCCCCAGTGTGACTCCGATTGTCTCTTGAGAGCCCACGCAGCCTTTGGCCCCTGTGAGGATGTCTGGATTTGCAGGTACATTGAGGATTCCTCCTGCCACCAGCAACAGCAGCCATTTCCACAGCGCCTGCCAGAGGGGCTGGCATCCTCTCCGTGTGTCATAATCCCATTTTTTGCCTCCGAATCTGTAGCCGCCTCCTGGGGTGGAGGTGTGAGCATCAGGAGATGAGGCTGAAAACACGGTTAAGTTTTTAAAAATCATTAGCACCTTTACTCTCCTGACCTGCAGGCAGCTTCCCGAGCTGAGTCCAAGGAGCCAGGGTGAGAGTGGAAAGAGGGGGTGAGACACACAAAGGGGTAAGTCAGTAAACATCACTCGGCACACTAGGGAGAGTGTCCGAATGGTGGCCGATGGTGGCAGCTGGCGGGGCTTTCCAAGTAGTCTCCATGGCACCCGTGCCTTCACAATCTTCACCCTACAGCTCTCTGATTCAGCTCAACTTGTGTCACCGAGCCAGAAGAGAGATGGAGTAAGTGTGACATATATGCTGATATGGAGAAAGTGCACGTGTGTGTGTGTGCACCTGTGCATGAGAGAGAGGCTTGGAGACAGAGAGAGAGAAGGAGAGAGAGGCAGAGCCAGGGTTTCCCTCCAGAATAAGTGACCTGAGTCCCTGGCTGGGGCTCTGAAGGCGTTTCTGGGGCCTGAGCCCCACCAAACTGATTTAGAAAAATCAGGGGACTCAGATCCGACAGGGTCTGGAGGGGATGGTGATCTGGGCTCTTCGCCACGGATGCTCACTTAGGAACTTAGAACCCTGAACCTTTCTCAGCCTCAGAATCCCTCAGAGAAAGAGGTGTGGAAGGGCTCCCTGAGAAGAATCTAACCTCCATCCACTGATTTTTTTTCTTTCACTCATTCAATCATTGTTGGGCGCCCGCGAGGGCTGGATGTGGGACTGGGCTGTGGGCAGATTTCCAGCCAGACCCATCGCCCACCACCTCTCCTTCCCATCCCGGCCTCACCCCCAGGCTGAAATCTTGCCCCTCCATATATCCTCAATTTCCTGCTCTTCACACCAGACCCCGAGCGGCGGTGGGAACTGAAAAGGATTTCCAGGCATTCCCCTCTCCCTTCTACCCTTTTCTCTCTCCCTTTCTTGTCTTCTTTTTAAAAATGCTCTTTAATAGTAAAGTTAGCATGAAAAGGAGAGAAAATGAGGCTCAGTGAGGCTGTGTCAGGTGTGCGGCGATTTGCTTACCTGCCAGAGGTCCTGCCTCGCTGCCCCCTGGCTGGGAGACGGGCCTCCCTTCTCCCCTCCTGAGAACAGGGGCAGGAGATGGGTCATCGTAGGTGTCCGGCCTCATGGCAACAGGTGAGGTCAGGACCATGCGGGACGAGGGTCAGGTCTGCTGCTGGGTCCCTCATGGCATCTGCTGCAGCCGTGCTGGGCCTGGAGAGTCAGTCTCCATAAAGCATCATCCTTCTCCACCCAGGGCAAGAGGCTGTTATCAAGGGACAGTTGGAAGGTGGGGGGTGGTGCCTAGACTCAGGCATGGCGTCCCAGCAGGGCAGGTTCAGGGCGCCAAATGGACCAGGTAATTCCAGGGACACAGGCCACCACTGCCCCTTCCTTTCCACCTGGCACCTGGCCCTGTGCCCCACTGCCCTCCAGAAGAGGCAGTCGGGCACCTGCCATGGGCTCACCCAGGACACCAGCTGGGCACCTCCCTGGAATGACCGTCCTGCCACCCTTCTTTACCCACACGATAACACCAGGACCCGTGTCTAAGAAGGAGCTGCCTGGAGAAGACTCACCATGGGTCCCCATCCTTGGGGGGGCACTGGCTGCCCACCATGCTAGGCAGAGGTCTGGGGCTAAAGTGCACCCCGGTGAGGAGGCTGCTAGAGCTTATTTGCCTGGAAACGATAGACGGTGTGTCACAGGCAAGCCATGAGGCTCGGGGCTCAAGAGAAGCTGGATGGCCCTGTGGTTAGAGCATGGACTCAAGAACCAGCCTCGGGGCTTCCCTGGTGGCACAGTGGTTAAGAATCCGCCTGCCAATGCAGGGGACACGGGTTCGAGCCCTGGTCCGGGAAGATCCCACATGCCGCGGAGCAACTAAGCCCGTGCGCCACAACTACCGAAGCCCATGTGCCTAGAGCCTGTGCTCCGCAGCAAGAGAAGCCACCGCAATGAGAAGCCCGCACAATGCAATGAAGAGTAGCCCCCGCTCGCCGCAACTAGAGAAAGCCCGTGCACAGCAACAAAGACACAGCCAAAAATAAAAATAAATAAAATAAATAAATTTTAAAAAAAGAACCAGCCTGCCCGGGTTCACATCAAATCGAACCAGCTTCCCACTTGTTAGCTGTGTGATCAGGACCATGATCCCAATTTCTTGCCCATAAACTGGGAGCAGCAGTAGCATTCTCTCTCTGAATCACCCAGCCAGGCCCTGAATGAGCCTTCTTCTCCACGCCAGGCGGGTACCTCCCACCCCCCAGGGGCAGGACAGGAGGATGGAGGATGGGTGTTCCCCCTACAGCCAGACCCAGGAAGCCCAAACTCCCAGGCGGCCCTGTCCCCAGAGCCCCAGACCTCCTCCTCCGTGACCGAGGCAGAGCTGGGCCGAAGAACCAAAGCGGGTACGGGACAGGGGTCACCCCGCACCACACAACTCTAGGGGGGCACTGGTACCCGAGGGCCTGTGCCTGGGCTGAGAGCACTCCCTGGAAGAGGCAGGGCGAGACTTCCCTCAAGGCCCTTTGCCCACCGCAGGCTGTGTAAAGACCCAGAGGATGAGACCAGGAAGCGGGAGATGGGGTGGGGGCCAGAGTGCCTGGGAGCCCCAACCTGGGGGAACACGGGGCTCTCTTCCCCTGCAGCACTGTGGCCTAGCTTCGTCCTTGACACTGAACAGGGACTGGGAGAAACAGCTTCACACCCTCCCTCCCCTGGGCCACCTCACCCCTGCCTCTCAGGCGACTCCCCAGCCTCAGCTGCCCTTCCTCCCCCAGCGGACAGGAGCTGCGGGCGCCCTGAGCGAGAGTGCGGTTTCCTCTCAGCCTCTGCCACTCTGAGACTTCCGCTGGGCGGTGGTGCTGGCAGCCGGTCCTTAGGAGGCCCCCCTGCACTGGGAGACAGACAGACAGGAGGCAGACAGATGGGCGACAAGGCCAGGCCCCTACCCTTCCAATGGAGGGGAGGCAGGTAAGGCTCCCGGAGAGAGAAGGGAGACTGCAGAGACAGATGCAAGGGTGTGTACAAGTGTAGGTGTATGCATGGGTGTGTGTGCACATGGGTGGGTGTGTATTTGTACGCAAATACCTATGCATGCAAATGTGTGTGCGTGCACGTGTTTCATGTACATGTGCGTCCAAATGCAGTTGTGTTCAAGTGTGCAGGTATGTGTGCAAACGTGCACGAGTGTGCATATGCAAATGCCCATGTGCGTGACCACATGTGAGTGTGCATGTGTGAGCATCCTGGGGAGAAAGGGAAGGAGGGAGAGCAGAGCAGAAAGACACCCACCGTGAAAGCAAGCACTGCCCAGCGACCCTCAGGAAGCCAAGGACATAGGAGCAGCAATCCTCTCTTTCCCCTCCATCCTCTCTGTCCCCTCCTTCCTCTCTGTCCCCTCCATCCTCTCCTTCCTCTCTGTCCCCTCCATCCTCTCCGTCCCCTCCATCCTCTCTGTTCCCTCCATCCTCTCTGTTTCCTCCTTCCTCTCCGTCCCCTCCTTCCTCTCTGTCCCCTCCATCCTCTCCATCCTCTCCTTCCTCGCCATGTTCTCCACTGGCTCCCATCTCAGAACCTGACGCACAGGAGGTACACAGGCACTTGCCTGACAGATCACACAGGTCATCGACGCCTTCTCATCCCAAATACAGTCCCCACACCCTCTCGTAACTCCACTCGTCCCCCTGCCTTCACCAGCCAGCCCCGCCCCTCCTAACCTCCTCCCCGGCCTGGTCCAGGACAGCAGGCCCTGCCCACTGACCGCTGAGGGGCCCAGGCTTGTACGCGCTCACTGCCTCCGCTCACAGTGCTGCTTCTCCTCACCCGGGAACAAGGGGATTTCCTGACCATTTTTTCAGGCGGGGGATGTAAGCTGTTTTTCTAGCGTTCAGCCACAGAACCTTCCAGGCCTTCGTTTCTCTAAACACGGAGGTTTTGGGGAGTTAATCTGGCTGGCTTATTTCCATGCAGCATCTTAGTTCAGACACTAGTGCTCCCTTTAGATCATCAGGACATAAGAAACAGGACACAGCAAAAGGACTGGCGAGACGAGGTTCTTCCTCAGACCAGATGCTCCAGGGGTGGATGGCGTTTCCAGCCGTGTCAGCGGCAACCGGAACTGAGCCTCCGGAGGGTGAGAACTCACGGCGCCAGCCACAGCACTGACCGGAGAGTGTCCGGCCCCGGCCCTGCTCTGGGCTCTGCATCCCGAGCTGTGAAATAGCGGACATGTCCAGAGAGGAAGAGAAAGCTGACCTCACCCCAGAGGGCTCCCCAGGAGGGGGTCTGCTCCCTCTGGGGCTCTCGTCGGGGTCCTGAGAGCCCACTCTCTGCATCATCCCCCTCAAGGTCAGGAAATTCTCCTTGGGTGAGTCTCCCGGACAGGCAGCCTGCTGTGCGCAGCAAACCCCACCCAACTCTACGCCGGGACCCCCAGATTCGGCATGGGGGAGCCCACCATAGAACCCACCCCCAGAGTCAGAGCTGGGCCCCCTCCCCTACCAGCTGCACCTCTCTGAACCTCAATCTCATCTATGAGGTGAGAGGTGGAGGTGAGGATGCCCACTTCAGGGTCTTGTGAGGACCAAACGCACCCCCTTCCCTCCTAATCTGGACCAGGACAAGCCCCACTTCCCTCTCTGTGCTGTCCTCCCTAGCCTGGTTCCAGGCTCTAGCCGCTCAGAAGCTCGCAGATCCCAGTCTATCCCTGTCTCTCTCCCTCCCTCTCCCTCTCCCTCTTCCTCTCCCTCTCTCCTTCCTCCCTTCCCCCCTCTCCTCCCTCCACATGGCTCTCTCACCCCCATTCTTCACGACTGACTCCTTCATCCTTCAGGAAGCCAAGTAGACATTCCTCTCTCCTGGTTACCTTTCCTGCCCCCAAGTCTGGGTTAGGTGCCTCCCCTGGGGGTTTACATCGTGCCCAAACTTCTACTATCATAGCATCAATCATGGTGGCCTGGAATTACCTGACTACCTGTCCCCCCTCCCCCACCCAGACCTAGAATCTCCTAAGAGCAAAACTGGGTCCTGTAGCCAGTTGTGTGCTCAGTGCCCAACACATGTAGATGTCCATGGAATATATGTGGAATGAACAAACTTTCTCAGCACAGAGAGCAAAACACCACCCGGAACCAGTGACCTGACTGAGATGGGACACGGAGCATCTTCCGAATGGCTGCTGGGAGAGCCACCCATCTTGCACCCCCCCAACCCTCCAGCTCCTCTCCCCCGCCAGCCCCTGCCATCGCCGCCCAGCTCCCACTCCAAGGCTCAGGATGGCGGCCCTGCCATCTCCCGATGCAGACTCCTCAGCTGTTGCCATGGAGACCAGCCAACAATCATCCTGGTGCCCTCCTGCTTCACGGAGCGGCTGAGCAAAGGTGGCGGCCAGCTGTAGACGTAGAGAAGCCACCCAGCAAGGGCAGGCGCCTGGCTCTGGACTCGGACCAGCCTGAGCTGGCCCTACCCACCCCCACTCTCTTTCCCCCAGGTGTGATCTCCGGTCACCTCCCGAGACACACAGGTTTTTGGTTTTTGGGGGTTTTTTTTTGCGGTACGCGGGCCTCTCACTGTCGCGGCCTCTCCCATTGCAGAGCACAGGCTCCGGACACGCAGGCTCAGCGGCCATGGCTCACGGGCCCAGCCGCTCCGCGGCATGTGGGATCTTCCCGGACCGGGGCACGAACCCGTGTCCCCTGCATCGGCAGGCGGACTCTCAACCACTGCGCCACCAGGGAAGCCCAACACACAGGTTTTGAGGGATGAGATGAACCATGCAGGGCAAGGGCTGTCACTGTGTCATTTTGGTGTGGTGAGCTCTGTGTTAGCTTTCTGGGAGCTGTTTCCAGCATCTCTGTCCTTTGACCTTTGTGTCCAATTCCCCCCAACTCAGATGGGGCTGGAGGAAGGAGACACTCCAGTCCATCGTAGCAGGAAAAGATTTCGGGGGACATTTGAAAATGAAGAGGAAGTCTACAAGGTCGCTTACGTGCATGCCAAACTGGCCCCTAATTTTAAAGAGCTTTGCTTTAAGTCCTTGGTGAGCAGAGGCCATTTGCCCACTAGGGGCATGGCCTCTGCTCACCAAGGACTTAAGGCGGCATCACACTCACCTGACAGCCTCCAGGTCTCCCTAGAGTGGGGGGAGGGTCACCCCATCTCCTTATCGCTTTAAATGGTGCTTATTTCTGCTAAATGTCCCTGTGCCAGCTGGGTACCTGGGGGCAGGGATGTGCTGAGATGCAGCAACCGGCCCCTGGCAGCAAGGAAGCCAGCTGTCCACGGCCTGCCTGGATCCTGGCGTGGAGCTGAGCACCTGCATCCCAGGCAGGCCTGGGCCCTGACACAAAAGCCGCCCGCCTGCCTCCCTCCCCAAAACGTGGATTCAGCCCAGCTGCTGGGCTTTTGTAACTACCGGGGAGAAACTTGGCTGTGTTCTCAATGGTAGGAGACAAGAAGTGGTCCCTTTCGTTAAATGAGACGTGGATGGATGAATGGACAGATGGAAGGAAGGGAGGAAAGTAGCAAATAAAGGCTCCCTTCTTGGAGCAAAGGCCCACTGAGACCATGAAACTGGGTGAGAGCTGGGGAGGCGCTGGGAGCCAGAAGGACAGGGCCACTGGATTCCAGAACCCAGTTCTCTGAACGATTCTACAGTGGGGTGTTTTGGGGGGTAAGGGTGAAGAAAGAGGGAACCCACAGCTCTGTTCCTCAGTCCCCCTTCCCCTTGATCTCTTCACACTCTGAAAGGCAGGACTATCTCCTTCAACCCCAGGCAGGAAGGCAGGAATCCCCCCCTCCCCAGCCAGCCCATCACAGCTGCCCCCCTCTCATGCCCACTACACCACCCACAGACTCACCACCTGTTAGAACAGACGCAGAACCGTGTCCTGATCTCACTGCCAGGGCGATCAAGACACAGTGAAGTGAGGCAGGTAGCAAAGGGATTGTCCCAGATGGGTCCCCCTGTGAACAAACTTCAGTGGTGTCAAGAAATGCCTTAAAAGAACATTTAAGAGCCTCTCGTGTTCTTCGTTAACCTGAAAAACACCGAACAGAAAGTTGGAGAAAATTTAGAGAAAAGGTGACTAAACATAAGTTTTTGGTGAAGATAATAGAAATAAATCATGCCCTAAATTCTTAGAAAACCTGAGCCCCAGTGAGGCATTAGCAGTGTCTGATCACCCCACTTCACGGAGCAGGACACTGAGGCCTGGGCAGTTGAGACCTGCCAGTAACACGGGGCGTGTGAGAAGCAACACATAAGAAGAAGTGTGATTGGGAGTTCCCTGGCGGTCCAGTGGTTAGGACTCTGCACTGTCACTGCCACTGACCCGGGTTCGATCCCTGGTCAGGGAACTAAGATCCTGCATTCTGCACAGTGTGGCCAAAAAATAGAAAAAGTGTGATTAAGGCATCCTTACAGAGTTCAGCATCTCCATCCTGTTACATGACGCTGCCCAGTCTAATGATATAAACGACCTTGATGGCTCTTGAGGGATTGACAGGCTGTGTCTGCTGTTTGCCTAGAGCTCCTTTGAAAAGTAGACAATCCTGGAAGTTTTCATCTTAATTCTTCTGCAGACCCTTGCAGACGCCCACTGGCAAAGAGAAGCTGGCGTGATAAAAGCACCAATTCCTGATTACCATCAGTGTGTGTGGCTTGGGAGGACCAACAGACCAGGGGGGGACTCGCCTGACACGTCAGATAGAGGGGTTCACAGCAGTGGAGCGTGTGTGTGTGGCTTTATCCCCAGGACGAGGGGGAGGGCCATTGCGCCCTGTGGCCGTGGGACCCTGGGCCCGTCTCTTTGAAGGTGAAAACACGAAGAGGTGGTAGGTCTAGATGAGTCCTAAGCTGTCGTCCAGATCTGGTGTTTGAAAAAGGGAGAAAGAGGAAGAAGATTTTGTTGCTCGCCCCTGCTTCCCAGTGGGGCCTGAGGGACAGGAGCAGGGGAATCACTGGGGAAAAGGATTATTCAGGACCCCAATACATAATCCAGATTGTAAGAAGGGGGGTAGCTCTGGGTGATCAGTGGTGCGTCCTGCCTGTTTGGGTGCCCAACCCCATCCTCACCACCCCAAACTCTGAAGAACCCCCAGGCGATGGGGGAGAGACTTTCTCTTGTCTCCCCACAGCTTGAAAGCCAGGGCTCTGTTATACAGTAGGCCCATGGAGGCTAGGGACAATCTAGCGACCCTGTCTTTCCATCTCCAGCACCTAGCCGCACTCTTAACCCATGGCGATATTTGTCGAGTGAATGAATGGCCTACGAACTCATCAGCTATTGCTGCGATAATGCTGCGTAAGAGACAACTCCCCAAATCTCAATGACTTACAGTGACAAGCATTGACTTTTTTTTTCTTATTCATGGGCACAGGTCAGCAGGGGCAATTCCAGGGTC